ACCACAGGCTCCCTCTTGGCCAGAGGTGGGGCAGCAGCAAATCCCGGATTTAGGAGACCCTTATTCTGTGTTTCCTCAGCAGCTGCTGTGACCCTTCACTCTCAGCAGCAGGGCCAGGTTGTGCCCGTGTTCTTACTGGCGAGCATGGGAGCAGGACCCATGGTTTGGGCCCCAAGCAGAGCTCAGCAAAGCTCTCAAGCGGACTTTTACAGGTGAGAAATTACCTGTCCCCAAAATCACAGCGCTTCCCAGCGGAGAGGCCAGCAGGGTCACGGTGCCAGCACCAGTCCAGAGCAGAGGCAGATGGACAGGGCCGGGGGAAAGGAGGAGGATGAGGATGATGAAGGCTCTGCGAGCAGCAGGGAGCGGGTCCTGCGGGCATTCCCAGCTCTTCCCCTCACTCAGCTGCCCCCAGCCCCCCGGCAGTTCCGAGCTGCCTAATTAGCTCTCCCTGCTCCCAGCGCCGTCCAGCTGGAGCCGGAGGGCAGGGGCAGACAAAAGCCTCGCTATTGACAGCCCCTCCGAGGAAGGGGCTTTTCTTCTCCCCCTCGCTTTTCTTTTCAAGCCCCTCTCCCCCCGCCTTGGGCCGGGGCCACGGGCTCATTAGCACTTGTGCTCGCTGGATGGAGGCAGCAGATGGCAGCCAGGCTGCTGGCGCGCCCGGCCCCGCCGCCGCCTCTCCCGCGGAACAGATGCCCGGCCAGCAAGGGGGAGGATTAACGGGAGTGGGGGCCAGCGGCACGGCAGGGCTGCCAGCGGGGCTTCCTCCCCGGCAGCACACCCCACGTCCCTGCCCAGGAGCTGCCAGCCCGCTGGGGACTCGCGGCCGCCAAAGGAAGCCAGAGGTTGGGATGGCCAAAAGTCGCTGCAAAGGCCGCAGCTGCTGCTTTGTGCGCTCGCTGGGGTACCGAGACCTCCGACACTGCTGTGCCATGGCTGCTCCTGCCTTGTCCCAGTGCAGCGGGAGAACACGTCTCCCTTGTCCCAGCACGTTCACAGCAGCGCCCAGACTCCTCTCCAAGATCACCCGCAATGGCAAGCTACGGTTTAATCCCACTTCAGCAGCACATCCCTCCCCCTCCGTGCACGGTGCATCCCGGGGGATTAAGGGTTAAAGCACAAATCCCCAGCGCTGCCCTGATGTGACCCACTTAGACCATCTGGCAGGGAGGGATGCAGGAGCCTCCTCTCCCCGGCGCTCACTCGGCATCACCGGCTGCCCCAGGAGCTGACACCAGCGCCCGCAGGCCCCAGCCCCGGAGTGCCCAAAAGTGGATTTCGGCTGAGTTTCCGGGGACAGGACTGAGACAGGGCAGCTCATGCCAACAGCACCGTGGCTGGCAGTGTGGCAGCAGAGAACTAAACCACCCCCAGAATCATCCCACAAGCCCCCACACTCCCACCAGCTCCAGTTCCCTGGAGCATCTCCTGCCTGGATGTCCCCAGGTCCCGGCACCGGTGCTGATGGAATTCTTAGCAGTGCTTGCTCCAAGAGGACAGGGCTCCCAGCCTGGTGCTGTGCCCGAGGTCACAGCCAGGGAAGAGATGCAGACAAAAGCCCAGCCCAGAGGGAGGGAAGTGGATCCTGCTCTGGGGCTGGGGCCAGAGCATGGCGTTCATACTCATCCCCAGAGGCCAGTGGCACCTTAACACAGCAGATTTTAAAAGCATTTTCAGTTCACCAGAGCCAAAGCCCCATCCTCATGGGCCAGTGAGAGAGACTGAGGGCACCCCAGTTTGGCAGAGGAGCTCAGGGCAGGGTCGGTGGTCCCTGACCCTGTCCCCATCCCTCCCCAGCACACTGGGCACAAAACCCCCTCAAATCCCACACTGGGATTTTGCATATGCTGGAGCAATTCCCCTGCAAAGGCAAGCTCTGGGTCAGCCCCAGCCTCCCCTCACCATGCAATCCCTCAGCCTCAGCTGCACAGCAAAGCCCCACCAGGCCCTGTGTGGGCAAAGGTTAATTGGAAAAGGCCCTTTCCCCATCGCCTCGGTTTTTCCTTTCACTCTGCAAACTGGTCAATAATCCATTTACTTTGGCAGAGCTCTGCTCTGGGCACAAAGCTGTCTGGGGGGCTGGATTTAATGCCCCCTCCAGCCCCAGCAGGAGGGAAGATATTAATGTACTCTTTTGTTCCAGCATGAACCGTGGGTTTAGCAAAGCTTTAACCCTCCCAACCTCCAAGACAGCTTGAGGGGAATTCAGATGGAAGAGGCTTTACCTGCAGAAGCAGCAGAAAGGTAGTGGTGAGGGATAGGGCAAGGGGAAAAAGCATCCCTTTCTGTCCAGGTAACCCCATCGCTGCCCCTCAAGGATCCAGGATTGGGCCCTTAGCCATTCTCAGGGCACTCTGCAGGATGTTTTGGGCTATGGACACTGGGGGTGGTCCCTGGCAGGACCCCCATGGTGCAGTTGAGCCCCTTAACACTCCACAAGGGCCCAAGCCCAGCCAGGAAAACTGATGGGAGGTGGGCAGCACCGGCCTAGAAACCATGGCAGCGTCTCACTGCTGTGGGAAGCACGGGGCTGGATCCAGGGCAGGGTGTTTGCAGGGGACCAGCTGTCAAGTGTGGGAGAAAACAGGAATCCAGATGGTCATCTTAATATTTCATTTGGCTAACTGGTTTCCCCATCTTCTCTCTGGCACCACAGTCATTTGCTCTTAAATTAGTCGGGAGTATCGTCAGGGAAGAGAGGCTGGTCCAAGCATTGGCACAGCGAAACCTTCCGGAAAAACAAACCCAGAGCAGAGCCAGGCAACAGAGACCTCTACAAGAGGAGCTGCTGCAAGCCTTGGGTCTGCTCTCTCCACGGATGGGGAGCAGGAGCCTGGCTCTGGCTACTGCTGGACTACAAGCCTAGGGCCAGCTTGGGGACATCACTGTGCAGCTCAGCAGGGACCCGCTGCAAAGCCCCTGAGAGTGAAGATCTGGCATGTCAGAGGTGTGATCCTGCCCAGATGGCAGCTTGGGCTCCTGGCAGAGCCCTCTGGGATGCGAGCCGAGCCGGCAGCACCGATGAGAAGAGCTGGGAACCACAGCACCTCTGTCCCCGCAGCCTTTGGTGGCAGCCCCTGGAGCAGCAGAGCCCCTCCGTGCCTGGGGCAGGGTGAGTGCAGCGAGTGCCCCATGGACCCCGGGGTGAGCCCTGCCGGGCTGGCCCCGCTCTGTGCAGCTGCCACACCCAGGGAACATCCCCGGGCCCGGCAGGACACACAGCCAGGGGACAAAAGGAGCCGGGCTGCACAGACCCGGCAGTGGCGTGGCCGGAGCACAGCCGGTGTGGGCACCCGGATCTGCTGGTGCCCACCACAAACCACAGCAAAGCCGAGCTGATGGGGCCGCTTTGCTCTGTGCCAAGAGCTCCTGCACTGTTTCACTCCCACCTGAGCTGTCACTACCAACAGCACGGAGAGGTGCACACATTTGGGAACTTTTTAATGGATCTGCAAACACCCCAAGCCGCGGTGCTCAGCCCCACCACGATGTCTGAGCCATCCAAACTGCTGGCTAGATAGAGCCAGGCATCATTCCTGGCATCCAGGCTGGCTGTATTTCCCTAAAACCTGAATTTGTTGCCTTATTACACCTCCAACTGCAAGATATTTAAGCTCACTCAGGAACGTCCAGGTGGGAGTGTGTGTGAGCCAGCCCTCAGCCCTTCAGGTGCCCACCATACCCGATGCAGGGATGAAGAAAAACACAGAGGTTCCTCTCTGCACAAAGGCTGAAGCCCTGCAAACACTGCCTGTGGAAACAAGAGTTGCTTTTCTCAGTTGGAGGCTGAACCCATGCCTTTCCCATTTTCCTACCCAGATTAATGGAAATCAGAGAGATTGGAAAAATTGACGCTCAGCAGCTGGGCTGCAGAGGCAGAAGGGTCCCCCATCCCCACTGCTCCTGTGGCTCACAGCCTCCACTGGCATGGGAAGCATCCGAAATGGCTCATTCCAAAGGATCTCTCTCCTCCCTAGTACAGGCTGAGCCCCCAACACCCAGACTCTTGCAGACCAAGCCCCTCTCCTCTACAGACACAGCACCTCCACGGAACTTTGGCTGGCTCCCCACACCAGCTGGGCAGAACCCGGCAGAGGAAAAACAGAGCAAAGAGAGAGGAAAGCCAGCAAGAAAGTCCTTTGTTTATAAAAGCAGCGCAAATAGGATATTATTAACAAATACTGAGACAAGCAGCAAAATAAAGCTGGTCTAATTAGAGTGTGCATGGCTGTGAGGAAGCCACACGGACCTTTGCCTGTGTGACAGTCTGGCAGAGAGGCTCAAGGGGTACCTGCAGCCCCCTCGCCTCTTTTCACAGGTTTCTCTGTTGCTCAGTCTCTAGCAAACATGAGAGCATCGACTTTCCTGGAGCAGGAGGACAGAACAGGTACTGGGTGAGCAAAATCAAGGCTGCTTGGCTGTGGGACATGGGGGACACCATCCCCAGAGCTGTCCCTGTCCACGGCAGTGACCAGGCTGCCTGCACTGTGTGTCCCTGGGGGGCACCAGCCTCCCCTCGGTGACAGGGCAGGGTCCAACCCCAGGGGGCTGCTTCCCTTCCCAGGCTTCATCTTCCCAAGGGTTCCAGGGGAAAGGCTGACAAAGAGACAAGGCCACCAGCAGGACACACAGCCCAGGGCTCTGCACAGCGGGGATGGAGCTGGTCACACTTTCCAGCTGATGCCCCCCACCACTGCCCCCTCTCCATAGCCCAGCTAGAGCTTTGCAGACCCTCATCCTGCTCCCAGGCTCCAACCACCACCGAGCCAAAGTTTCCCAAACCTACTCAGCTCTGGAGCACAGCACCTGCCCAGGGAGGGGGCTCAGCCAGCCAGCACCCTCAGCCTCAGGCATGGGGAGGGTGCCCCGGCTCCTCCAGCCACGAGCTGCTGGTGGCGGGGGACACACTCAGGACTCTCCTTATGGTGGGAAGGGGACTAGAGGTGGGGAAGGACACAGGGCCTGCGAGAGCCCCCCTCCCTTGCCCCGGTAGCCCTTACCTGGGCAGCGGCTTGCGGGCGGTGATGCTGGCCACGATGATGCTCTCGGGTCGCGGCGTGGCCACGGCTTTGAAGGTGCCTCTCCAGAACTTCTCAAAGAGCTGCTTCTCGCCCTGCTGCACGCCGGCCATGGCCCCGGGACCCACGGCCAGCCCCGCCGCTGTCCGCGGTGCTGAGCGCTACATCCCCCGCGCCGCTCGGCCCGGCCCGCAGCCCGGCCCGCTGCGGGGAGTGCGGCCCCGGCCGCCCCCGCCTCCCGTTTTGTGCCGGCGGGGCGGGCAGAGGGGCCGGGCCCGCCGCCGTCCCCTCCCCGGTACCGCCCCGCCGCAGCTGCGCCCGGAGCGGCGGAGCCGAGCCCGGGGAGGGGGCGGCTCTGGGGACCGCGACCCGCTCGGGTGGTGTCCGCTCCCCCGCCTGGTGGCTCCTGGGGGGGCTTCCAGCCCCTCGCAGCCCCCAGGGCCGTCCGTGCGCCATCCCCATCGTTTCCTTCCCCAGCCGAGAGGCCAATTCCAGCTCGCTGCCGGATGGCGGGCACCGCCGCACTTTGCCCTTTGCGGGGCACCGACCCTCCAGGGCACAGCGAGGCCCCGTCCCGCACAGAGGCTGCCAGCAGCCTTCGTGTTTGCCCAGTCCCGACCGTACACAAGTAAGGAAAGGGAGAGCCTGGACCACAGCTGAGGGAGAAAGCAGCAGGAGGCCGTAGAGACCGCTCTGTAACTTGTCCACACCGAGACCCATATGGGTCCGAGAATTCGAAATACAACCACTTTTCTGCCCCTCTCCACCTCCCTTCCCATTTAACTGGGAAGGGGTAGGGATGGAGCATGCAGTTCCTCGGCTCCAGTGCAGTGGCAGGCTGGGAATCCCACAGTGGTGTCCCAACCAGCTCAGAAACCAATTCCTCACCTTCCAGACAGGATTTGACCCGCCAGGACCGGACGCGGGGAGGGAAGAAGAGCTGGGGCGGTGCAAGTGCCGCGCTGCGATTTCCCTCAGCCTCTGCGCTGAGTACAATAAAAACGTCTTTAGGAGAAAACGCTTCTTCTACCACATGCTTTGAAGCGCAAGTAAAAGCTGATGACCTTGGATGAATGAGACTGTCTCTATTGTGCCTCAGAAACCCGCACGATACGCTTATGTAAGCGGCGGGGGGATAATGGAGCCGGGAACAATAGGCGGTGGGAGCCGGAGAAGAGGGAAAATCATGGGGAAACTTAATCGCTTCTTTGCGACAAATACAACACCAGCAGAAGGCTCGTTCTGGCGGCGTTGTTTGCCAACTCCTCCTTCCCTGGCCCGTCTGTGCCGCCGGCAGCCGGGGTCAGGAGCGGTGTCCCCGCAGCACCGGCGGCACACGCGGGCCGGGCTTTGTGCCGCGGGGCACGGGCGGCTGGACAGGGATGCTGGGGAAGCGGCAGCAGCGAGAGCGGGCACGGATCCAGCAGGGCTTATAGAAACACTGTCAGCTCTGCCAAACAATGCCTAAAAACCCGACAGGGAAGGACAGCGCTCATGCACGGCGCGGAGATGCTCGCTGGGGGGATGCTCCTCCCGGGAAACCGCCCAAGGGAAAGGCCGGCTCGGAGCTGCTGCTCCAGCCCAGGGCACGCTGCTGTGAGCAGATGTCAGAGTGAGGATCCTCCAGGGACAGTCACAGGCAGGAAAGGGCAGAAGGAGCAGAAGAAAGGGTTTGAGAGGGCTAGAGCTGCCACGCTGTGAAAGCACGGCTCGGGAGGGCACACACAGCAGCCCCAGGGGAATCCCACAGTGGCCCAGCGCCGCTCTCCTGCAGCTGGGCAGGGACAGGCACTCCCCACCCGAGCAAATCCAAGCTTGGCTTTCCCCTGGCCCTTCCAGTCATTTCCACAGAGCACAGGCTGTTCATTAGGAACCTATTTCCCCTTCAGAGCACATTAAACTCAATAAATAAGAGATCAGGTGTTAAGCATACACACTCCCCAGTCTTCCTCTGATTTGCCGGTGAGTGCCCCAAACGTGGGGTGAGGGTCAGGCAGGAGCCCCACCGGCACTGTCAGCCCCAACCCTCCTCTGGTGCCTCATTAACCACACACCCTGCTAGGCACCACCATCCCCTGGGTTTTGCAGGATGAGCCCAACCAACCCCAGCTGCAACCAGTGGCACTCCGGGGCGTTTCACCCCCTTCCACCAGTGATCTCTCTAATCGCCCTAACATTAAGTCCCAAATAAAAGGAATAATAAATGTTTGCACTATTAAATTAGCAGCACGGGTGGTGTGTGGGCAGGAGGAAGGCTGAGATCATTACAAGAGCCTCTCTCCTGGTGTACCTTGTGGAGACATCAGCGAGCCAATTAAGCAATTGGCTGGGTTAACGGAGGCTCCCAGGAATAGACTTCCCTGCTATAGAATAACTGCGCAGTAATAAATTGTCTCATAAATAAACAGCCTGAGAAAGCATTACAAGATATCCAGAAAAAGCACTAGATCACAAGCAGAAAGGACGCTGTGTGCATCTGGTGTGTCTGGTGTGTGGCATTGCCAACACTTCTCTGAACTGGGGCTGGTGTCCCTCTGGGGACTGTGGGGCTGGTCCCATGGGGGTGGGCATGGCCACAGCATCCCTGGAGCCCCTGCAGGTGCTGCCTGCCCTGTGGGACCACTGTTTGCCAGCAGCACAGAGCCCTCAGTTAGTCACCCATGGGAGTGCCACAAATGCCAGCCTGGGTTATTTACAGCTGCAGCAGTAACGTGCGGCTCTGCCAGGTTCAAATGTTTGCTATGAACTACAGAGCATATGAGTCCTGGGATGGGAACAGGGAAACTGGGACTTAAAGGACAATTGCACTTTTTCCTCTTAATCAGGACCTATAAATAAAATAGAATATAAAAACTGTCTTCTTTAAAGAGCTCATCTTTCATTATTTGGGGTTAAGTAACACTTTTAAAGGGCTTCCCCCCTATGCACGGGGGGCTGCAGACCAGGCTCTCCCCAAGGCTCCTGGCTCCCAGCCCTGCTTGCCACACCTGGCTCTGCAGCCCTACAACCCCCTGTACCCCACAATTAAACACCCAGAACCCTCCTGACCTCCCAAACCTCCCCTCAGAATCCAAACCCCCCTGGGAAATGTGAGAGGCACCCACCTGGCTCAGGGACAGAGGAACTCCAGCCATGCCTTCTCCTGCTTTTCCCTCTTCCACATTTAAAGGGCCCCATGCCCTCATCCCCTCCCACACACAGGCTTTGATTTTGAGGGTTTGGGGAGAAGAGAGGGGTCCCTGCTCTGGTGAACACCCACTGTGGGCGTTGGGCTGCTGCTGAGGACGACAAGCCCAAGGGAAGCAGGGATCAGCAGGAAGAAGCTGTGTGTGTGCAGGAGGTACCCCAAGGGAGGGAAAGGAGAAAATGTGTTTAACTAGGATTAAGTTTTAATCTGTTCCCCCTAGTAGGGAGAAGAAAGCTGGGTTTGTCCTGGAGCTACATAATTATTTTTCTATAAATGTTGAGCATTGTTTTGGTTTGGTTTTTTGCTTACTCTGCTTGTACCTGGTGGAAGAGCCAGAACCTGGTTTTGCTCAATCCAACCCATTCCCACCTCCACGTGCCATTGGCATGGTACCACTCCACCCATTCCCCAGCAAACAGATTTACTGGGAGGACAGAAAGTCAGTAATTATGTCTGGAAGTATTCATTACATCAAGAGTCAATAAACAAAGGCTGTGAGTGCCCTCTGCTCGTGGCACTCCAGAAGCACCTACCAATTATTCCCTTGGCTCAGCCCTGCCTGGCAGGAGGTGAGTCCTGCACCATGGACCCGTCCAGAGGATGCCCAGTGGGGCTGGATCCAAGCTGGTTTTCCCAAGAAAGGAGTGAGTGGGGAGTGGCCTGCAGGGTGAAGAAGCAGCAACAGCCATGGGACAATGTACACTGTGTGCCAAGCTGGCAACAACCCTCAGATGGTGGCAGGATGCTGCTGTTGGAGCACCTGTAGCTCGGTAAATGCATTTTGCAGAATGAAAGTGTTGCAAGAGGGAATTTACCACCTTTCTAGGGGCAAATACCTGTTTTAGGGTGGACGCCCCCAGCCTGCCCCTAGATCTCAGGATACCTCTCCATCATCTCCAGGTGGGCATCAGGGACCTGCCAAGCCTGTGTCCCTCTCCCCAGGGCCAGGTGTGTCCCACCCCGGCTTTCTGTGCTGGCCTCCGTGGAAGCAGCCGGCTTCTCTGTGGGCAGGAGGGGGCTCTGCAGCTCACCTGTCCACGCGGCTGCTCCAACAAAAGCCTTTTTCCCTCGCTGCTTGCCCAGCGAAGCCGCTGGCCCCGGATATTTAGGCAGAACGAGAGCAAAAGGCGCAGGGACAGACGCCGGGAGCGCTCCCAGGCAAAGCCATTCGCAGCCGCCGGGAAAAGAGGAATGAAAGAGCAGGAGCAGAGGGAGGCAGGGAAGCCAGGCCACGTCCTTTTCTTCCCTTTGGCTCTAAAAAAGCTCCAGACTGGAAAGGGGGATGGAGCTGAAAAGATGATTTTCCCCTCGCCGCGGAGGCCAGCCGGCCCCGGGCGCCTCGCGGCAAAGCTGCGCAGCGCCGCTGTCCCCGAGTGCCACCGCCGACCGGTCAGACACAGCTGGCACCGAGGGGACAGAGCCCGCAGCCACATGTGTCCGAGCACAAGAGACAGGCCCGGCTTTGCAGAGCCCCTCGCTGGGCTGCGGGGGCACAGGCAGCCCCGACCGCGGGCTGAAGGTCCCAGGGCCCCAGGATGTGCCCCGGAGCTGCGGAGAGCAGGGCTGCTTTCCTCTCTCTGCCCTCCCCGCTGGCAATTAGCAGTCTCCAATCACACGGACAGCACCGCTGGGTGTTGGAGCAATTATGGCAGCTCGGCCGGGCCCCAGCCTCAGCTCGGCTCCGGCTGAAGGGGGAGCTTGGGGATGCTCAGCACAAGTTCGGGCTGCAGAACGGGAAGGCATCGGGCTTCTGCCTCCGGCTTGGGAGCGGTGGAAGGGGTCACGCTCAGGGTACAGCCCTCCTCCAAGCCAGCACCGAGATGTTTCCATTCCTGGCTCAGCCCAGCTCCCAGTGCCAGCCCAGCTCCTGCTTCCTTTCCTCCAGCACCTCCCTGCACTGAACCAAGTCAAGGGCAGGAGAAGGTC